ATTACTGTGAGTAAATTAAATAAAAAAAATTTTAATTTTCCTTCTTCTTTAAATTGGGCAGAATAGAAATGAATTTTTGCGAGAAAGTTTGATTTTGTCAAAATTACCAAAAATTAAGTGTTACTGTGTAATTAATAAACACTCTTTGTTAATAAAGAGGATTTGATTATCTGGTAAGATGTGGTGGTAGTGCATGGCTCATGCAGATTGCTGTGTAAGTAATTAAATTAGGGTATGGATTAAATTATCTTTGTGGTAATTGCAGAAACTGGTTATAACGACAAAGAGTGTGGAATATATGCCATTTTTCCTCTCACTGGCTTCTCTGGGCAATGGTATTGCTTGGACCACCTATGCTTTTCTTCCTTTTGACCCTTTCATATGTGTAAGTTTTAACATTTTACCAAGTAATAATTTCTTTAATTTTCATATATATATATATATATATATTGTTTCCTGAAAGAATTAATAAAATAATATTTTTGGATGATCAGGTTCCAAATGGGCTTGGAACACTGTTTAGTGTGGCCCAATTGCTACTCTATGCAGCATACTACAAATCAACACAGAGGCTGATAGCAGCAAGGAAAGCCAAGGGTGAGATGGATTTACAAGAGATGAAGATTGGTGGTAATCGCAACGAAATCAACGGTGCATGATATAATTTAGCAAGATCTCCACCGTTGGATGATGGACTATCGTGTTATTTTACTGTTTGTTTTGTTTTGTTTTGAGTAAGTCATATATACCCGGGTTGAAACTGGGACAGTGGGCTCTATAAAATGGTTTCCAACTATTTTGGTTTTCTGTTTAATTTGTGCCCAACAACAAAAAACTAAAGGCCATAAATTTGCAGATGCAAGAAACTTTTCCATCTCCTCACAAATTGTATTTTGCATGTGTTATGGTTTTTTTTGCATGAATTCATCCGTTAGGTTCTAAAAGTTACCAATGAAACACATCTCAATTCCATGTACTTCATAATTTGGAGAGTCGAATAAATGGGTTTAGAGAGGTTAGGAAGAATTTGGTTTATTATAAAACTTTCAGACACATAAATCATAAATACTCCATTCCTAGCTTTAAAATATATCCTTTGGAGAATTTTGGTTTCGATAAAACATAACTAGTAAATATTTCTAAATAAATTGAGCATAACAATTGAATTTAAGTTATTAAATTGTAAATATAAATATCATTAACATTGAAATATATTTTTATATTACATAAAATATTTATAGAAGTGCCAAATATACTAGGGGAAATTTTAGCCCAAAAAAATGCTCTTAAAATCAGGTAGCATATAACCAAAAAAATAAAATTTATTTTCTAACTCTTTCTTCTTACAAGTAACTCAAGAAAGAATAAATATTTTTGGGAATTAAAAAATTGGCGCCTCGCCAAACGGACCCTTAAAAGAGATGTCCGGCAGTAACGGAAGCTGTATAAACACCGTTAGGATTCAAAGCCATTTAAACTTGAACAAAATAACAAGAAAAAAACAAAAAAAGGAAAAAATAACAATAATTCCTATTTCTATTTCTATTTCTGTAGTGTAGTCTCAAAACTGTTTTAGTGCTGTCATTTTTCCACAAGAAGAAAAACTTATCATGTCCTGATAAAAATCTCTTGCCCAATGGAAAACTCTTAACATTAAGATGATGCATCAGATACAAATGAAACACCCAGAAAGGGGTGTGAGATTTTTTTTTTTTTTTCTTTTGATAAAAGAAAAGGGTTAGGATTTAGAACAATAATAAGAGTGTTTTATACATACATATATATATATATATATATATAATTAAATGGAAAATTTTGTTTACAACTTAACCAAGCTCTTAGAATCAAAAATCTAGACCTTCACTCTTAGTCTAAAACTATAAGAATTGTGCTTCCAAAAACTTGCAATATTTACAATCTACTTATCCCAATTCCCCAGTGCTCTCACACGAACTTCCAAGATTTGCCATTACATCATGAACTGCAAGTCTCACAATGCTGCTGCCAGACGTTCTAGAGATATCTAGGCATTCCTGTAAGTCCGCATCACAGGCTATCAAAACCCACTCACTATCATCGTCCAGATACTTGATATCAAAAGTACCCACCTCTAACTTCAGCCTCTTTGCCACTTCCTCTTTCAACTCCATGATACCTGAACTTACTGATATCCGAAACCTAATTATATCGTCCCCATAAGTTGCCTTTATGGTAGCACTCCTCATTTCTTCCCTGCCTCTTATCTGCAGTGCTTTGTGCGTAACAGCCATTGCTTCCCTATGAGGCACATTAGAGCATCTTGCATTTATCCAACTCGATTCTGCGAGTCTTTCGTCCACAACAGCATCTGCCACTGAAGGACACAGGTTTCTCAAATCTTTTGAACTTCCAGCATCCTCAACCAGCATTCCTCCAAATGGTTCCTGAGGTTCTGTCGCCAAAAGAGGATCAGGTGTTGAGAATGCAGCTGATAGATTTGGTTCCTCAGCAGTTTGAAAAGCCAAATCAGGCGAGCCCCCAACTCTGCAGCATCTTTCATGAACAGATACAACAGGATCCTTTGCAGCTACGCTTTCATTTGCAGGGCTACCTTCACATGAACCATGAGAAGTTGGGGTCCCAGCACTCTCTTCTCTTGAGCCACTCCCTGTTC